GTCCTATGTCTGCCTTGAGAACACAGCCTATATTCCCTTATCAAACAGGCTAACTGCAGTGACCAGAAAAACCATGCTATTACCCATAGGTACAGTCTAAGGCCAGTCCAATGGACCTAGCCCTCAGGCCAGCACTTAAAAGACTCACCCACCCTCTATAGCTGAAGTGTTAGGCTGGCATTCACAGACTAGACTCTAAACTGTCTCTTAAGGACCTATGCTTCAGGCCATACACTGACTAGGCTGGCCCCAAACTCCAATATATCTAAAGTCTAGGCCGCTCCAGTAGTCTCTGGCCTCCACAGACACAGGCTCCAGTCAGGAGTGCTTCAAACTTGCTACCACAACCTCAAGTTCCAGGCCTGTCTAGCCCCAGACAACTCAGGCAGGGCCATCAACAAAACTAAATGGACCCCTGGCCTGCTTAAATTGCCACCATGCTGTAGAAATTCTAAACCATATTCATCATAAAACATTGTGCCAAAGAAAACTATTTACAACTGAAGTTATTGAGTAAGTGTTGGGGAGATGGTTCAATTGCTCAAGTGTTTGCCACACAAACATGAAGACCCCAGCCTCCAGGTAAAAAGAAAAGGCCGAGTCAGGAAAATCTCTAGGGCATGCTGGCTAGCCAATCTAGTTGAGCCAGTAAGCTCCAGGTTCAGTGAGAGATCCTGTCTCAAAAAAATAAGACAGAAAGCAACACACACACACACACACACACACACACACACACACACACACACACACACAGCCATTACTGTTGCAGGACAGTAGTGGCGCATATCTTTAATCCCAGCACTATGAGTTTGAGCCATCCTGGTCTACACAAAGCGAGTTCCAAGACAGCCAGGATTAAGTGATATATATGAAAACATTCTAATTGCAAGCACATTAGCATATTTCCATTAATGAGTACAGGACTTTATAGTGTAGGTTCAAAATGATTCTAGATTATTTTGAATGCAGTTTATATTTCTAATCCTTCGGTAAAGGCCATCCCTATGTTTAAACTACAGTTTCAAAATAAATGATGGCAGTACAGTGAAAGCTTCTACGTTGCAGGTATGCTTCCTTCAGTCATCTTCTACTTTTTATGACAAGGTATTACAAAATCATTGACTTAAACCTATCTGTCCTCCTGCAAGTACAAATAATTGCTGTCTTGTTTTTTCTACCTCTAAAAGTTATTGAGATAAATAACTAGAGTATTGCCCAATTTTGAGTAAATCAGATTTCTATGTCAAGCCTGGCTCAAATTCAGAGTTCAAATCTCAAACTTCCTGGGAGCTAAGTTCAATGCTACCACCTTCTAAGAATCCCCTTACCTCCAATTTCTAGTAACATGCCTCCCCACTTCCTTCTGAGCTCTTTCTAGCAGTACCCTTAAAGTCCATATTCCTAGCCTAGGCCTAGTGGTGCATGTCTTTATTCCCAGCACTCAGGGGGTAGAGACAGGAGGATCTCTGTCAGTTTGAGGCCAGCCTGGTCTACAAAGCAAATTTCAGGACTATAGAGATATCTTGTCTCAAAGAAAAAAACAAACAAATAAACAAACCATCTATACATACAAAAAAAAAGCCCGAACAACAAAAAAAAGTCCGTATTTCTATTGACAGTCTGTTCAAAGCAGTTTAGGATACTTTTTGTATTATGTTCTTCAAAATTCTTCAGCTTCTACCCACTGTCTGATTCCAAACCCAACTTCTAACTTTTAGGTATACTCTGTAACCAACTACCATGTTTTAGGCGTGAAACAACATCCTTTTTTTTTTTTTTTGGTCTATGAGTTAGGACTCCAGGAACAGCTTAACTAGATTCTCTGTTCTGGGCCCCAAATCATACTGCCAATCTCATCACGGCTCTCTTCCACCTCACTAGTAGGCAGAATTAAGTTCCTTAGAACTAATTGGAATCCTCATTTTCCTGAGGGCTGTCAGGCAGAGAAAAATGTCACCTTCAGTTTTCCTTAAGACCCTTTCCTCTCAGACCATGGCTGTTTGTTTCTACAACAGAACACCTTCTGTTCTTGTCTCTTTTAAAGGACTCACTGATTAAGAAGGACCTACAAGATAGTGCTTTCTTTGATTAACTTAAAACCAAATAAATAATCAGCTGGGCGTTGGTGGCGCACGCCTTTAATCCCAGCACTCGGGAGGCAGAGGCAGGCGGATCACTGTGAGTTCGAGGCCAGCCTGGTCTACAAGAGTGAGTTCCAGGACAGCCTCCAAAGCCACAGAGAAACCCTGTCTCGAAAAAACAAAAAAAAAAAAAAAACAAAAAAAAACAAAAAAACAAATAATCCACAATTTAGGAATGAAATCTCTTTATATTCACAGTCTTTGTCCACATTAAATGGCAGGGAATTACATAGGAACACTCATGACAAAGGGAGAATATTGAAATCATCTTAAGATTCATTTATTCTGCCTACTCTTTGCCCTCTAATCTGGGAGTTGCCTTAAACTCCTGCCCTCTTACAGTCCATCTGCCTTCCCTTCCTTCCGCCCTTCCTTCTTAATTTCCGTTTTTTATCGCCTGCTCCTTGGGAGATGCCTCTTGCTTCAAGGCACTCTGATTTTCATGTTTCTTATCCCCTATAAAATTGAACTGTCAGCCGGACGTTGGTGGCGCATGCCTTTAATCCCAGCACTCGGGAGGCAGAGGCAGGCGGATCTCTGTGAGTTCGAGGCCAGCCTGGTCTACAAGAGCTAGTTCCAGGACAGCCTCCAAAAGCCTCGGAGAAACCCTGCCTCAAAAATCAAAAAAAAAAAAAAAAAAAAAAAATTGAACTGTCATTAAGCTCGTTGTTCAGCTAGTGAACAACCTTTTATTATTTTTTTCCCCACACAATATGTCCTGATTATGGTTCTCCTGCTTCTCCCCACAGCCCCTCCCATGTAGATCAACTTCCTTTCTGTCTTTCATTAAGAGATACTAATAAAAATAAAATATAATAGGATAAGACAAAAACTAACAAACACTTTGGAATTAGACAAAACAAATAAATGGAAAAGAGCCCAAAAGAAGGCACAAGAAACAAGAGACCTACTTATTAGCTCACACAGGAATCCCATAAGAACAGTAATCTGGAAACCATAATATACACAAAGGACCTGGTGCAGACCTGTGTATGCTGCCCCAGTCTCTGTGACCGAACTGCAATTTTATATGCTCAGTAACTTTTCTTCCTCAACTTCTAAGATGGTATATATGGACAAACAACTGTAAACAACTAGAGAAAATTTACACAGTATAGATTTTTTTTTTCTAAATAGCCTGGCTAATATGAAATGAATGAAATTCTCCTATTTCAAAACTATCCATTTTTATAAAAGGAAAATTTTATATTTTTGGTTGTGAGCCTAGCCTTTAACGGCTGAGCCATCTCTCCAGCCCTATAAAAGGAAAATTTTAACAAATGTTTGAAATAGTTTTAAGAGTTTGCCAAAGAGAACTTAGAAAGAAACCACCCTTTTGCTTTCTATACAAGTGCTATTGCTAATTGCATGATTTTCTTTTTACTTCTTATGTATAGCACAATATATCAATTAAACTTTTACTTTTCTCCTGTGTTTACTAAGGGAAAAAGGTCTTTTTTCCTTTCTATATTCCAGTAAGCCCTTTCTTTTCTCTTTTTGGTTTTTCAAGACAGGGTCTCACTGTGTAGCCCTGGCTGTCTTCCAGGCTGGCCTCAAATTTGGAGATCAACCTACCTCTGCTTCCTGAGTGCTGGGATTAAAGGCATACACCACCACCACTGGGCAATAAATCCTTTCTCATACAAGACTGCTATGGTTCAACTAGAGAGAGTACCGTCTGTATGTACAAAAGTGTCCTTGTTCACTTGCATTTTCAGTGATCAAGCTCAGGACGTCTGGGGGCTCAGGAATCTTCTTCATATACCTGTGCAGACGACTGAAGCCTTCACTCTAAACGGCTTCATTTGAGAAGAAAGCGCCCCCCTCCCATATCAAATCAACAAATGTTTGTTGTGTGTCAATTAAAAATACGTGTTTTTGCCCACGTTATAATTGGGATGTCACTTTATCAGACTTACTTTACATTATAAATACTATACTAGCATTTAATATTATTGGCCAATTTTCAGATAACAACCAAGCTATCAGAGAATGAGCCAGGCAGAATTCTGAGTATGAAACTAGACTGACCTACATAGGTAGCACCAGGCCAGAATGGTCTATATGGTGAAACTGTCTCAAAAACAAGCAACAACAAAGACTGACAAAAATTCTCTAAAAGAAGGTGAAGGTTCTTGCTTTTCTCTAATAAACCTGACAATTGAGGCTGCTATTCCCTCGAATATCTATTATATCTTCCAACACAGCAAAGGAAATCAGAGAGCTACACCACAAAGGCAAAAGCTGATTCTTTTTTAAACCATTTATTTTGAGACAGAGTCTCACTCTATAACTCAGGCTGGCCTCCAAGTCATGCAATTCTCTTACCTCAGCCTTCCAGGTGTTGGACTTACAGGAACGAGCCACTAGGCCTGGCTAAGAGTCAGTCCTTATCTGTGGACTTCTAATGGCGAAACCAGACACAAGCTAGCACATTAAGAGCATGTCATTACTGAGAACAGTGAGAAGAATTAACAGACAGTTTTATATGAGATACGGTGATGAGATTATATACCTGATTTTTTTGAAGTGTCAAATAAATGTAAATACTTGCCCAAATCAGTCATAAATAATACAAAGAACAAGAAATTTATTTACAAATGTCTTACTTCAACAACAGTTACAGGCATGAAACGGCATCAACCAACAACTAGCCAAGAGACTTCACTAGCTGTGTTTAAGCTATTACGCCCAGAGCAGCTTCTCTTACGTGCTGGAAAGATGTCCTTCCGAGTCCTCCATTTGTACAGGGGTAATCATTTAATCAAAGGGGTCTGTGCACCTGATATGATACTCATGGGTTCAGCTGAGTCACATGATTCTTGGCTTTCTTTTTCTCCTCTCTGGTTAGTTTCTTACTTTTCTTTGTTGACTCCTTCCTCTTTTTCTCCTCCATTATCAGCTCCTTTCTCTGCTTCCTCTTCTTTATTGCCAGCTCCTTTCTCTCCTTCTTTGTCCTGGACACTGACGGAAACTGCTTTGTTATAGCCTTCTCGGTTTCGAGCGATTTCAATTGCAAAAAACTGAATCCTGGGTGCTAAAAGGTAAATAGAATTGATTGTCCTGATTTGTGGTAGTCATGTATACTGACGAGAAACCCACAGGCAAATCTTAACGCATATGAAAGTCATTCAAATATATGAGCTAGAAATCTTGAATTCTGGGGCTGGAGAGATGGCTCTGAGGTTAAGAGTGCTGACTGCTCTTCCAGAGGTCCTGAGTTCAATTCCCAGCAACCACATGGTGGCTCACAACCATCTGTAATAATGCCCTCTTCTGGCATGCAGGCATGCATGCAGACAGAACACTGTATGCATAACAAATAAATAAATAAATCTTAAAAAAAAAAAGAAATCTTGAATTCTAAACTATTAATCAAAACATGTACCTCTCTGACAGTTATTTAAGGAAACAAACACCATCTTGAAAGATACAAAAAAATAAGATGCTCTCCAAGGTAACTACACTTGTTATTGATTCAACAGTGAACCCAGACTCCTCAATCAGACGTCATTGCTAGAGGCAAGAAACTCACCAAAGATGGTGTTCTCCTCGGTATAGCCCTGGGAACAATCCAGTCGCAACAAAGTACCATAGTTGTAGTCTTCTACAATCCCTTCAAATTTCAAGCAGAATGGCCTCCACTTCTATAAAGGCAAAAACATGACACCTTAGCTGATGAATCTAAGAGTCTAATGTACTCAAGCCAGGAAAGAGGTTTGAGCTTATCCCAGTGGGAATAAAAGCCAATGCGAAAGAGACTAGTATTGAGGTGACTGTCAGCTTTATGGTGAAAACTGTACTACATTTTGGTGCTATATGTTATGTTTTTAGGCTGGTGTCCCCCTACACAACATTAAAATGTGATTTCTAACCGGGCAATGATGGTGCAAGCCTTTAATCCCAGCACTCAGGAGGCAGAGGCAGGTGGATCTCTGTGAGTTCAAGGCCAGCCTGGTCTACAGAGTGAGTTCCAGGACAGACTCCAAAGCTACTCAGAGAAACCCTGTCTTGAAAAACAAACAATCAAAAAACAACATTAAAATGTGATTCCTATAATGGATCTCTTTTGTTTTCAGTTATCAGTCAGCTCAAGGCAAAATGGTTATTAATCCTTACCAAAGTATCAAGGAGACATGTTATACATGTTCACTGAATAAGGGGCAAGTTCTTAAAGATCAGTGACAGCCTGCTAGGACTTCAAAGTCTAAATTCTTCATTAACCAAGAGCCCACTTTTAAGGAAAATGTTTTTCCTATTATAATATCAGTGTTCTGTGTCAGTAAGAGAAGACCACATAAGCAAGAAACACCATCTGTATGCTATCCAAGATCTATGATCAATGTCCCCCTATATTCCCTGTACCCTATTAACTATTCCATTACCGAATCTTTCCAGCTAAATTTCCTGCTAAAATAAACCATCCCTCCTCTCCACTTAAATGAATAGGTAAATGAGATAGTTGAAGTGCCCAAGATAAGGAGAGAAAAAAGTCTCAATGAAGACAAAAAACGCCTATGACAAAAAACAATTCATTCCATAACTGACTCAATTTATATAAAATGCAGGTGGTTCCTTATTGTAAGTCATTTGAGAAAAATTTAAGCTTATATAAAAACATTCAATAAAAATCATTGGCCACATGTTAGATAACGTTTAAGAGGATACTTACCTCTTTAGCTGATTCTGATTTGAGTTCTTCTGGATCCAATACATCTACCTGGAGCTTCTCGAAATTTTCACGGAACTCAGAGTAGATTTGGTCATCTACTTTGGTAAGTTTCAGGAACTGAGGGTCAACTGATGAAATCAGCTGCCAGACAATAAAACAAACATAAAGATACTAGTGACTAATTTTACTCCCCCACCCCACACCCCAGAAGTGCCACAGCATCAGGAAACTGTATGGTTCTCAGGACAGAAGATTACTTTAGGCACTATCAACAACTCAGGTCTTGGGAAGTCATTAAAGTGGTTTTAAGAGCCAAAATAAGTCTCTCTCTCCTTTTTTTTTTCTTTAATTTTTTTTCCCTTTTACCAATTTGGCAATTGAATGAACCCTTCAGCCCTTGTATTGCCTGGCTCTCATTCTGTGGATTGTTCATTCATTCAACAGACATTTAAGTGTCTGCCTTGTATGGTTCAGTTATCTTTCCTCCAGGTAGCAAACAACAGGGGGCAGACAAGCAGAGCTTATCATCATCAAATTCACTTCTACCCTTGTTACTGGGGTAAGATTTCTTTGGTAGTTAAAGTAATCTGCAAAGCTTAATAGTTTAAGTTGCTGAGAACTATGATTAGCATAGCATCATATACTAAACCTATGACTGCTGTGTAATGAGGAAGACAACTCACTTTGTAATAGACTTCAGCATGCTGCATTGCTCTAATGGCCCAAGCCATCTCAATATCAGGCTGCAAAAAAGGAAGAACATCAGCTTAGATATCTCTCGGTCCTGTAACGGGTAAGAAATTAAAGGCACCTTGCTAAATCTCAAAAGGCCTACAGAAAATGATGTTGTTGTCAAGGGATAAAAGCTGATCTAAAAGATCTGGCGACATGAACCTTTTGCCCTTAAGATGACCAAAAGAAGCTATCAAACAGAATAACAAAAACAATGAACCCCTGGATATCTTTTCCCAGCAGCTAGTGAAAGTGTGGAAAATCAGGACTGAATTAATAAACTATCAAAGTTACATTAATATATCCACCTATACACCTCAGAGTTGTTTGGAGGACAAAAAATACTTTTCACTTTCATGACTGAAACATGTTATACTCATCATGTTTATCAGATAGCCATTTTTCTACTCTGTAAAACCCCAGAACAAATGATGCAGCTATATTATAAATAAGTCTGACCAAGTACCCACTAGCTGTTCCATTGGACTCTCCTTTCCCAATCAGCCTGTTGTCTCTTCCTAAGGCCAGAAAAATCCATCGGCATATGCACCTTCCCACCCGAAAAAAAGGAGTTTTCCCATTTTTGAATCTATATTTTCTGTCCACTTACATTTTGAGCGTTCAGTTCAAGTTACACTTCTCTGATAAAATCTACAGCCTCCATCCTTTCCTGAGTCACTCATCTAGTACACATTACATTCTGATTTGGGAGGTATTACTATTCCTGCTGCCTTTTTTCTTATCTCTCGACAAACAGCATGTGTAAGGGTTTAAATGACGCACACCACAAACAAGTGCAACTTTGCTGCACAATGGGATCATTCAACGCCCTGTAAAAACAGGCTTTGCTCCTCTTCCCCCAACGCATTCTGATTTGATCGTATACGGGCTGTAATCTGGACATGCTGGGTGTTTAGACGCCCACTTTGACAAGCATTAGAGTCCTACATAAATTTGTGAACTACGATTAGACTGATGTGAAATCAGGAACAACTTTTGGTTGCCGTGGGGATCTCTGAAGAAGACAACGGGAAAAGAACATATAATTTAGTACCAGGGCATGGGCGGGAAGTGTAGGTGAGTCATACTCACGTCGTTGCCATACGACTCGGCTGGGAGAGAAAGAGCATGGGCCACGGACACCACTTCCCCAGAAACCTGAGAAGGAAAAGAAAAAGCAGGACTGAGCGAACGATCGCAACTCCCCGGGTCGCTCGCTCACCGAGCCCCAAGAGCAGCATCTTACCAGCTCTTCGCTTTCGCAGGTGGTATCCATATTACAGCCACGTTAAGTCGGGCTTTCCGGAAGTGGTTTGTTGCGCGTGCTGCTTAAGCGTGGATTGAGACTAGTAGGGCGGAAACGAAGATCGTTTTCTCCTTCTGAGCCTGCGTGCGCCCTCCCTTAGCAGAGGAAGCGCGGCCCCGCCTCATCCGGGCCAAGCAGGCGCCTAGGTGGCTTGCTGTTGCCTAGCAGCGCTATTCCTTTATCTGAGGTGATTATTCAGTAAGTCAACGGGGAAAATATATTGCATGAAAAAAAATTTAAATAAACTTTTTAAGTGATGCTGCTTTTAACTCCCCAGTATTCTGTGTTCCCAGCAGAAAGTCCAATTCGCACTCCATTCCAGCACGTACACACAGGCACGCACTCACACACGCACACAGGCAGTAAACCACTAACAAGCAATTATAGGCTGGACAGTGGAATTTGCGATGAAGAAGAATTTGCTACCTGCTTTGGAAAAACTACCTAGAGTGAGGTAACAAGGAGGTGAGCATCATCCTATACTGTGTGAGCTGAGTCATGATGGGCGCTTAGCCAAGCAGGTCGGAAAGATTTGAAGCAGAGGACAAAGGTATTAGTGAAAAATGATCGTAAGACCTTGCAAAGAACAATCTAGCTGGAGCAGAGTGCAGTCGGGACTTTTGTGTCGTGAGTTTAAAGATATATATAGATATATATATGTATATATATACATTTGTCTTTGTTTTTTTGTCTTTTTTTTTTTTTCTCGAGGCAGGGTTTCTCTGTGGCTTTGGAGGCTGTCCTGGAACTAGCTCTTGTAGACCAGGCTGGTCTCGAACTCACAGAGATCTGCCTGCCTCTGCCTCCCAAGTGCTGGGATTAAAGGCGTGCACCACCAACGCCCGGCTGTCTTTGGTTTGTTTTTGAGACTTCGCCACTCTCATTTCCACAGTGGCTGCACCAGTTTGGAATCCTAAAGACAGTAAACAAGAGTTCCCATTCCCACATCCTCACCAGCATTTACTGTCAGTTGTTTCTTCATCTTAGTCATTCTGATTGTGGTAACATGGAATCTCAAAGTTGTTTGAATTAGCATTTCCCTAACTGCTAAACATGATGAACACTTTTAAAGATAATTCTTAGCCATTTTTCCTCTCTTCTTTTGAGAATTCTCTATTCAGATCCATAGCCCCCTCCCCTGCCTTTTTAAACTGGATCATTGGTTTTCTTTTTTTTTCTTCAAATAATCTGTATATTTTATCAAATGAATAGCTTCCAAAGATTCTCTCCCACTCTGTGGTCTTTCTCTTCACTAGCTTATTGTTCTCCTTGCTGTACAGAAGTATTTTAGTTTTATGAGGTCTTATTTGTTAACTGTTTGCCTTAATTCCTAATTGAATGAAGTCCTGGTCACAACATCTCTTCCTACAACTATATCTTGTAGGGTACCACCTATGTTTTCTTCTAGCATTTGCAGCATTTCATATTTTACACTGAGCTTTTTGAACTATTTCAAGTTGATTCAGGGGATGCATATGGGTCTAACTTCAGGCTTCTGCATATAGACATCCAGTTCTCTTAGCATCATTTGCTGAAGATGCTGTCTCTTCTCCACCATGCATTTTTGGTATCTTTCTCAAATATCAGATGGTTGCAAAATTACATGCACTAATGTTTGGCACTTCTATTTTGTTATATTGATTTGCTAGTTTGTTTTTATTCCATTTCTGTGCTGTTATTATTATCATCATTATTATTATTGTTACTGTAGTGCTGAAGTCTTACCACATTATGTAGTTATACCATTCTTTGGTATATGTCCAAAGGACTCACTGTCCTGTTTTATAGCTATTTGCTCACCCACAGTCATCACATTCTTCATAATAGCTAGGAAATAGAAACAATCTAAATGTCCTTCAGCCGATGAAAGAATAGTTAAAATGTGGTACGTATACACAATGGTATTCTATGTCAGCTGTAAAGGAAAAATGAAATCTATGTACAAGTGAATGGATGAAAGTAGAAAATACTATACTGCATGAGGTAATCCATACCCAGAAAGACAAATGCTGCACATTCTTTCCGATTTCTGGTTCCTAGTTCTGAAACTTCCTGAAGTTACCCACTGAAACCAGGAGTAGAAGGAGCTATAGAAAGCAGGAGAGTAGGATGAACTGGGGCATTGGAAAACTGAGGGTACTTTATCTGGTGGGAAGGAGGGCAATCCAGAGAGATAAAGAACATTAAAGATGATTGAAAAATCCATAGAGAAGCATTAAGTGTATGTGTGTATATACGTAATTTAAATGAAAATGTAAAGGAAGTTACATCATGTGTGGCGATAATGCTCCCCAAAAACCATAGAGTACCTAGCAAAAACCCCAGTGTCAGGCATGGGATGTTGATCAGGGGAATTCAATAGACTTCCAAAGCAATAAAAAGATGTGGAAGGTTAACCTGAAGACAAAATTAAAAGCAGACCAGCTTGAAGGTGGTAGGTGATAGAAAAGAAAACACTGGCAGTTGAGAGAAAGTTTGAGAATGAATAACACCTGCTGGGCCAACTTGATGTGGAGAATAAAAGAGAATCAGTATCCCAGCGTGAGCCCCAGGCTTTAGAACAAAATGTGGAGGGGGATATTACTGAATTAGAAGGCACAGGAGGAAAGATGAGTGTCATTTGACAAGTTGAGTTGGAAATAGCTTTTTGGACTCATATAGAGTTAACCAGGCAGAGCGAGTTCTGAGCAGAGATATAAATTTGACAGCAGGCGCTGTTTAATTGTGCTTTCACAAGGAAAATGTTAAGACTCTAGAAGGCAAAAGGAGACAGGACAAGGGCATAAGCATCTACTAATAGGCAAGAAAACAAAGACTAAACAGAAAAAGAGTTGTCATTGAGTCGTCAGCAAAGTATAAGGTAGAGTCTCACAGAAGCCAAGGGATCAGAACACTTCTAGAAACAAGTGGTGAAAAAGTGAACACCCTGAATATACTGAGGCCAGAAATGCTGAGCGGTGACTGAAATCACATGGGAGTGGGTTAAGTGGGCAGGGGCGACAGAGATGACAGCACCCATAGAAAATTCTGAAAAGCTGCAAATAGGAAGAGCTAGCAACTCTCAATTATTGTAAAGGACACATAACTTAAAATTATATTGCTTTGTCGGGCAGTGATGCCGCACGCCTTTAATCCCAGCACTCAGGAGGTAGAGGCAGGCGGGTCTCTGTGATTTCAAGACCAGCCTGGTCTACAGAGCAAGTTCCAGGACAGCCTCCAAAGTCACAGGGAAACCCTGTCTCGAACCCCCTCCCCCAAAATTGTATTGCTTTAACCATTTATAAGTAAACAATTCAAAATTGTTACATACACTCATGTTTTTCTGTGGCAGATCTCCAGCATTTTTTTTGTTACAAAATTAAAACTCCATGCTTACTAAACAATACATTCCCGTCTCCCCTTTTTCCAAGTTCCTGAAATCACCATTCAGTTTCTCTGAATTTGACAATTAGGTGCTCCATATAGGTGGGCTCATGCAGTTTTTCTGTTTTGTGACTAGCTTATTTCACTTGATCTAGTGACTAACAGGATTTCTGTCCGTTTTAAAGCCAATGATATTCCACTGTATGTAAACAGTATGTCGTATTTATCCATAGAGAAGCACTTGGATTACCTTCACCTTTTGACTAACTGTGAATAATGCTGCTGTGAACATGAGTATGTAAATACCACCTTGAAATGCTGCCTTCAGATACTTTCCAGGTTAGTATGATTAATCATGCGCTTAATGGATCATATTTTTCAACCTTCCTGTTTATGCAAAGAACCTCTGGGACTTTTAACTTTATTATTTTTAGTTTGGAGAGACTATTAAGAAATTGGCCTTGCCGGGCGTTGGTGGCGCACGCCTTTAATCCCAGCATTCGGAAGGCAGAGGCAGGTGGATCTCTGTGAGTTCGAGGCCACCCTGGTCTACAGAGTGAGTTCCAGGACAGCCTCCAAAGCCACAGAGAATCCTTGTCTCGAAAAAAAAAAAACAAAAAAAACAAAAACAAAAAAAGAAATTGGCCTTATGCGAAAGACTATTGGTGGGAGGAAGTAGGTGAACCTTGCCAGAAATAGGCAGCAGAAGTAGGAAATTGTACAAAGTACCAGGGGACAGATGAGAGAAACATGTACTAAGATTGACCTTAAGAAAACTGCCTTTTATAAGTGTAGTAGAAGAACCAATTTAAGAAGCAGACGGAAGGTTTGACAGGGACAGCTAAACTGAAAGTCCATGTACTACCCGGAGACCTGGATGCAGGATGCACTGTCCATGTGGATGTTGAACGTTGGTCAATGAAGAGGTCAATAGGTAAAAGTAACATGGAGGAGAGGACTGAAGTTGATTGCTGAGTTGTTAAATTACAAGTAAACTCAAGAGACTCAACAGGCCTTTTATTTCAGGAAGCAACTTATGTAATTTGCTTTGCTTAATGTTTTAGGTAGATCTTTAAAATTTTTAAATTAAAGCACGTAATATGTGAATAGTATATTAGACTTATTTTTAATATTTTAAAATAAAGTAACTGTTTACTATTCAACTATTTGCACACAGATATTTGCATTGACCAGTAAGTAGATCTTAACAATATTGGATAGGGCTACTTCTTGTAACCTAAAACTGCAAGAGACAAGACTATCACCTAGAATTTTCTTCTCACATGATGCAAGAAAACTAATTCCAGCCTCCAAAGCCACAGAAAAATCCTGTCTCGAACCTCCCCCCCCAAAAGAAAACAAAAATTAATTCCAACAGGCCAGCCAGGAACTCCACCCACTGTTTTTTTTTTTAAACCCAGTGAACATATTTGCTTTTCAAGGAGGAAAAGCCAGAAAACAACTTCAAATACTCGTGATTCCAACACATGATAAACTAAGTCTTTGGATTAGATTCCTAATTATGCTATTTTTAAACGGTGTATTATATGTGTATATATAATTATATGTATAAATATGTATATTACACACACACACACACACTCTTTTTTTTTTTTTTTTTTTTTTTGGTTTTTCGAGACAGGGTTTCCTTGTGGCTTTGGAGGCTGTCCTGGAACTCACTTTGTAGACCAGGCTGGCCTCGAACTCACAGAGATCCGCCTGCCTCTGCCTCCCAAGTGCTGGGATTAAAGGCGTGCGCC